AGCCGGTGCCTATCCCAGCATGCAGTAGGCACAAGGTGGGGCACAGGGCAGACACAAACATGCACACCCCCCAGAATCGGGGTCACTTTTCACCAGAAACCAAAGAACCTACAAGGATGTCTTTGGAGTGTGAGAGGAAACTGGGGCACCTGGAGGGAAGCCATACAAACTCCACGCAGACAGCACCCCAGGAACAGAACCCAGAGCCCCAGCGCTAACTCCTGCACCACTGTGCCGCCCGCATATACAGATAAGCAGAGGAGCAGAGAGAAGGAGGGAAAGGACAGATGTATGGATTTATATGGAAAAGCATTTAGGCAGACAGATAGGTTGTCTGAGAACAAACAAAACACGAATGCAGAGACCGTTAGAATGCGAGAAACGGAATGTCTAAAGACACTTTCAACTGTGCCCTGTCAGAAGAAGTAACTACAGGCAGCGGTTTCTACTCTTATTATTTAATCTAATCAAATCCCGTCAGTGCAGTACAGCTGTTCGCCGACTCGTGCAGGTCATTCGGAGACACACTATTTAAGTCTGCTTCTGTCACTGGGAAATGGGTCAGATGGGTCCCCACTGAGAGCTGGTGTGTGGGGAGGGGACTGGAGCATCATCCAGGTGGGGCTGCACACTGGTGGGGGTGGAGGGGATCCCCATTACCTGTAAAGCGCTTTATAAGTGTAAGGAATTATTATCCATTATAAGATTATTAATATTATCCATTATAAGATAAGATCACTTTATTGGCCATATACAATTTCTTGCATTAGGAATGCATCTTTTCGCAGACCCCAGCTTGCTCTCCATGAGACACAGACAGGGAGAGAAGCTGGGGGTCAGAGCGCAGGATCAGCCATTTATACGGTGCACCTGGAGCAGTTGGGGTGAAGGGCCTTGCTCAGGGGCCCAACGGAGTAGGATTCCTCTGCCAGCTGTGGGATTTGAACTGGCAACCTTCCAGCCACAGGCACAGTCCTGAGCCACAGAGCCACCACTCCGCCCTAATATCGCCCTAGCTCCTTGTGTCAATTTGATGTGACAGTAAGACAGGCTCAGAGAGCGAGAGGGACAGCTTGGTGTTTCCATGCGGGAGGTACCTGAGTCGATGCAGTACACCACGGTGCCCCTCTCTTCTCCCACACACAGTGGGGTCCGCTCAAAGCCCGTCAGCTGGTAAAACTCCTCCGGCTCGGCCGGCTCCCACTCTGCGGCGGACAAGGAGGAAGCCGTGAGGAAGGCCGCCTTCAGCCACACTCCCGCAGGCAGCTGAGGGGGCAAGGGCAAAGGCCACCGGGGGGCGCCCCCCGCAATCCGCAACATTGTCACGGCAACCCTGAACTCCAGGGGGCTCTCTCTCGCCGGACAAAAATAACACAATCCAGCCTTTCGCATTGCAGAAATAGGACAACAATAACACAATCCAGCCTTTCGCATTGCAGAAATAGGACAACAATAACACAATCCAGCCTTTCGCATTGCAGAAATAAGACAACAATAACACAATCCAGCCATTCGCATTGCAAAAATAAGACAAGAATAACACAATCCAGCCTTTCGCATTGCAAAAATAAGACCACAATAACACAATCCAGCCTTTCGCATGCATTGCAAAAATAAGACAACAAAAACACAATCCAGCCTTTCGCACGCATTGCAAAAATAAGACACCAATAACACAATCCAGCCTTTCGCACGCATTGCAAAAATAAGACAACAATAACACAATCCAGCCATTCGCATTGCAAAAATAAAACACCAATAACACAATCCAGCCATTCGCATTGCAAAAATAAGACCACAATAACACAATCCAGCCTTTCGCATGCATTGCAAAAATAAGACACCAATAACACAATCCAGCCTTTTGCATTCCAAAAATAAGACACCAATAACACAATCCAGCCTTTCGCATTCCAAAAATAAGACAACAATAACACAATCTAGCCTTTCGCATTGCAAAAATAAGACCACAATAACACAATCCAGCCATTCGCATTGCAAAAATAAGACAACAATAACACAATCCAGCCTTTCGCATTGCAAAAATAAGACAACAATAACACAATCCAGCCTTTCGCATTGCAAAAATAAGACACCAATAACACAATCCAGCCATTCGCATTGCAAAAATAAGACAGAAACAAGACAACACAGCCCCTGGCCCCCCCGTCGCCTGCACGCCTCACCGATGTGCCGCACTTCCTCCTTGATGACCTCGCACTCGACGGGCCAGCGCGGGCCCTGGGACGGGCCCTGCCGGGAGGGGATGGCAAACAGGCTGCGGGGCGCGCGCAGGCGGGGCCCCCGCCGGCCCCCCTCTGCATCGAACACCAGCTGCCGGGTATTCAGCAGGGCCTGCTCCAGCAGAAGAGAGTCTGGGCATGGGAAAACAAGAATGAGCTTCCATCATGAGCAGTCAGAGCCGTCGCTGGTGTTTCTTTCCACCCTGGCTCGTGCCCTGACATCGACAGATGAAAATGAGCCGCCTCTGATCGTGCTGTTATTACAGAATTTCTTACAGCTGAAAACCAAAGTCCGAACCAGGTTGTTGTGCTTTTATCGATGGAGCACCCCAGGGAGTGAATATACAAAGGCAGTTTCGCTACGGATTGGGTCCAGGGAGTGTGCGCCAGTGCTCTGTGTGGACAGCGCGTGCGGCGTTTTCCACTCACAGGGCGTCTTTCTGGTCCCTTCCTTGTCCCCCTCGGTGTCGGAGGCCGACCCGTTGGTGTCCTGGGAGTTGTCGTCAGGCAGGAGGTATCCGCGGCTCCTCTCCCAGCTCCCCGCGGCTGCGAGACCGCCCTGGCACCCCGCGTTCCTGCCTGACAGGATCGGCGGGCACACGTTTCAGGTGCTTGTAAGTGGGTGTATTCCCTGGCCTTCTCCTCACCCCGAGTCCCAGAGGCACTTGGGAGAGTGGGGTACAGGCGCGGCAAATGTCCGCGGCTCAGGTGAGGGACCCCAGGCAGCACCCCGAACTCACGCGCGTCCCATTCCATCCCCGCAAGCCTGACGACAGGCCTGGTGAGAACTTACCGCAGGAAAATATGAACGTCTGCCGGGGAAAAAATGGTGCCAAAAACAAGGCTTCGTGATGGCGGCCCCTGGTACGTGCCACACTCTACCGCACACTTCTACCCTGGAATGACCTGAACTTTACCAGACTCTTCCACGATTTTACCACAGCACTCAAGAGAACGCTTTGATACTTTGACTTTGACTGAAGATGTTGATTTTCTAGGTGCTTTTATCCGTACTCAGATGCCTCGGCTTGCTCCCCAGGATCTGGCAGATGCCTCAGAGCGGCACCATTTCCAACAGCGCCACCTAGAGCCTATATCCCTCCCTGAGGGTTCTGGCTATCCCAGAGCCTATCCCACAGGGAAGTCCACTGCAGGACGCACACACACAAATGCACTCATCCAGTTCTACCCTCTTTAGCCTACACGCAGGGCCACACACACAAGATCCCCGGAAGCCGATCCCGGGAAGCTGCAGGCACAAGGTAGGATACGCCTGGGACGTAGAGGCAGACCCGCACACACCTCACACCGGGGCCAGACGCAGAAACAGACCCGCACACCGGGGCCAGTGTTCCCACAAGACAGGTAAGTCGGTCAGCCAGCGTTTGGACCGTGGGAGGAAACTCCCACACGAACACAGGGAGAACATACAGACTCCACACGGACAGCGCCCCAGGCCTGGGATTGACCCCAGCGGCACCAGAGCTGACCCCTGCACCGCCGAGGTGCCCTTAGAGAGACGTTTGCCCTCAAAGGGCTCCTTGGGGTTGGTGGAGCAGCTGGTACGAACAGGCCGAACTGCACACCGAAGGTGTCCAAGTCCAACCCCAGACCCAGGAGCAGAGAAGCTGCATTGCCATCCACCGCCGAAGAGCCAGGCAGCCCCGTTTCTGCGGACTGTAAGAATACCCGCAGGTCGGGATCACGGGGAGTTCTTACGAAGTCTCCACACAAGAGATCTCTGACCAACCCGGAGGCGGATCTTCACGAATCCCCCACCGCCTTCAGCTTACCGGTGAACAGCCCATAATGCCGGAGATGGCGTTGCATGAAGGTCTCGTAAGGGTCATCTAAGATCTTTAAGAAACAAGGAGACATATCCCACCTTAAAACGCTGCTTCAGTTGGAATGGGCGGGTGCGTAGGGAAAAAAAACTTTTTTTATATATATATAAAACAAGCACACAGCCATCGGCAGCCAAAACGGGCGAGAAACAGCGCTGCGGTGACGCCGAGAGAGCGGTCGGCTCACACGGACTTTCACGTGTATGTACAGCCACTCTTATGCATACACAGCACTGCACAGACAAGGCTGTTCAGGCGAGACCGTACTTCAACCAGGACCAGTACTTTTTAACACGAAGCCCACAGCGTGCGATCAGGCAGGAGCACAATCACTGAGGAGCCCGACACGTTTCTATCCGACCCCCCCACCCACCACCACGACCACGCTGGCGACGCACCTGCGGGTCGATGCCGGTCTCCAGAGCAGGGCGCATTCTCCACCTCAACACAGCGGGGAATCAGAGACGTCCCTCGGTGCCACAGAGCTTGCACGTCCGCTGCACCATCAGCTCCGGGCCGTAGCCCGGCTGCGGAGACCCACAGATAACCACTTCACACGCAGGGAAGGCAACACGAGCATGCAACTGCAGCGTTAACCTCATCGACAACTTCGGCTCGTCCTCGTCTCTAGTTTTGCTCAGCTGGGGGAGGTTGATACAGGTTGTAATAACATCGTTTCCAAAGGCTGGACATCCAAATCCTGCACTGGAGCTGCCGGGTTCTTAGAAAACAGTTGTAAATACTCACCGGAGACGTCCACGCTATAGCGGCTGCAAGTTTAGTTGTTTTTTTTTTATTCTGACCAAGCCGACTGACTCCTACCCTTTGGACAAGAGAAGAGCCCGTTGCTAGGCAGCGCACGTACACGAGAACGCGGTTTCTTGGCGACCGCAGAACTACAGGGTGTAGCTGCCCTTTCATGACGTCACCGAAGTCCTGTAACCTCGGGGCAGGGAACGGTATGCGAGTGCATGATAAAGCCGGGGTCGAGGGCCAGTGATACGTACACAGAAAACTGCAGTAAAAACAAAAATACTAAAAGCAAAGTCAGCCAACTCCGCTTGCTTCTGTACGCACCTCCTTTGTAAACGAAATATAATAGCATCGGTTACAACTTGCATAAAAGATGTATATTTTGCACCCAACAATGGTGTCCGCCTACTTGGGGTGTATGTAGCACATGATTTGTTTTTTTGGGGGTCTATAATATAAGGTTTGAAGGCGGTAACTTCGAATGTGCCGAAAGGTTTGTATTATTTTTTGCGGTTCTGATGCCACAGCTTTTCTTCAGCTGTACACTTGCAGCGTCATGCAACATTTATAACTTTTTCGTGCAAAATGAAAACGTTAGCGGCACAAGACCACTTTCTGCAGCGCGGAATGCTGGTATAATTGCAGTATTGCCTACTAAAAAAAAAATCGAAGCACCACCGCCATCTCCTGGACATGAAGGCGGCGAAGAAGGACGGCATAAAAGGTGACTAAAGGTGCACTTTAAACTGAACACCGCCCACTAAGCAGCGAGTCCTGCGCCCGCTGGGATCTCTGGATCGCGCCCCTTGCTTGTGCAGACACCTCCTTCGTTTGTTCACTTCAACAGACTGAACCTCAAGCGAGTCGTTTGCAGCAACCTCAGATACTAAACAGATACTTATTTAAACTAAACTGCATCTCCACCGCTTACCCTTATTCATATACAGCCGTTAACGGAAGATAAAGATCACTTTATTGGCCATATACAATTTCTTGCATTAGGAATTTGTCTTTTTGCAAACCCCAGCTTGTTCTCCAGGAGACACAGACAGGGAGAGAGAAGCTGGGGATCAGAGCACACTGTCAGCCATTTATACGGCGCCCCTGGAGCAGCTGGGGTTAAGGGCCTTGCTCAGGGGCCCAACAGAGTAGGATTCCTCTGCCGGCCACAGGATTTGAACCGGCAACCTTCCAGCCACAGGCGCAGATCCTGAGCCACAGAGCCACCGCTCCGCCCCTAACTGTGACTGTATAACAAACCAGGAGGAATGACAATGCACAAGACACCTCCGCTGTCCATTCTTTCATTGTGCAGATACCAGCTGGTTTGATCTCGGGCGCCACACCTGAATGTGGACCAATACCAGCCACGTGAGACGACGGCAAAGTTAAAAAACTAAGAAAATCAAATGAAAATCAAGTGAAGAAGAACTTGAGCAAAAGCCGTGAGACGGCAGGTCCACCAAAAACAAAGGACTGGAAAACACTTCGTTGGGAGTCCTAAAAGTTTGGAATCTAAGCCGTGTACTTCATGAAAGCCACAGGCATACATCAGCTGAATTCAGCATCCGAGAGAAGTGCTGAATAAGTCAGCCGATGTAAAAATATGATGGTAAAAAAAAAAAACTTAAGTGTGAGAGCTGAAAAGGCGAGGGACAGACGAAGACATTTCAGGCGTTCGCTAATAAAGTGACAGGCTCAGCGGGTTGTTTTTTTAAAAAAAAGTTTAATACTTATTTACAAAATGTACAAAGGCGTGAGTGTATTCAAAACCCCCAGAGCAGAGTGCTGAAAGTTGGAAGGGGGGGAGGGGGAGGGGTAACAAAGCAAACCCAAAGGCTGATGCTTAGTATCTAGAAATTGGCAGGTTGGGCACAACGTGCAGGCCAGCAGAGTGAATGCGTTTCACGGGGAGAACACAGCTGCAATTAAACTGGCACACAACCCCTCCCCCCCCAAAGTCCTCAGAGATGCTGCACCACAGATTTTAGAGCAGGGGTTAGAAAAGACCCCCCCCCGTACCCCCACGATAATCAACACAAAGCATCAAAATGCAGTGAGAACAGGACAGCAGAAACCCTGCACACCTCCTGGGCTATGGCCACTTGTGGAAACAAACCCCTGTAAGAGGAATGAGCTCTGGTGTAAAGCTCACCCTGAAGAGCCCAACTCATTCCCTCCCCATCCCCGTTGTGGAAACGAAGCCTTTGATAACCTCGCCAGAGACAAGCTCCATGGCAATCCGGCTTTCAAAAGTCTTGGGTCAGAGGGGAATAATCCCACAGAAGTGAAACGGACACCCCGCTTTGCAAAAAACACCCCCGCTGTTTTGCAAATAAAAAAACAAAACAAAATGAAATGCCTTAAATGAAATACTTTTTTTTTCTTCTCCTTATAGAAGGACACAATTGGTTTAACACAGCTGTAGCTAAACCTTACTAAAAAAAAATATATATTGGGCAACAGTCTTTCACGGTCAGCATTAAAACACAGCAGGACCTCCGGAGCACAGAATAAAAAGTGGACAAAAACTGGAAAAAAGTAAACAGATAGAACTGAAGTAGTTAAAAATCCATGATTTTTCAGAAAGTACTTCTCTGTCTTTTTGCCATACTGGATGGGAACGATTTCTCCCTTTGCCAGTATGGACCTGCACAGGGGCCTGTCAAGGGCCCCTGTGCCTTTGCCCCGCTACCACAAAATGCGCTCTGTTTCCCTCAGTCCGTGGAAATCCTGCGGTTTGCCGACTTCCACCTTTACATCTGGAAATCTCAATGGCAGAACCAGGCAACCAGGCAGAAGGAGGTGGTGGGGGGGGGCTGGGAAGGTCATGGCTTTCGACGTCAAAACTGATCCACCTGACCCAGTCCTGCCCCCTCCTCCGAGAAACACTGACGCAAGAGCTTACAAAAAATACCCCTCCCCCCCCTACAAAAGAAGGCAGTTTCAACTCGGCCTCAGCGCACGCTGTTCACTTTTAAGCTTTGGCCATTTTCTAAACTTACAAAAACGGTTTTCAAAGTCCGTGTAAACTGGCAAAGATGTTCCGGGAGCACTGTATGAAAGAACGCGGGAGTCCAGGCTAGGAGCTCTGCATAACTTTCCTTCTCTTCAGTCTGTCTCTCCAGTCCACAGGAAGAGCCTCGAAGTTGGCGTTTTTCCCAGCTTTGCCGCTGCAGAGAAAAAGAGCAAAAAGGTGTCAAAATCTCTGAAAGAGGTTTCAGCGATTGAAAACGTTGGCTGCCCCAGCAAAGAAGAATGATGCACGATGAAACCTCCCGGAGTATAAACTCAAAAAATACTGGCGCTGAACGTACAGACTTGATGAGCTACAGTTCGTGCCCCGGTCGGTCCACCAGTCGCCAAGGAGCATGAGAGAACACGGCGCCCTGGAGTCTGGGGGCTAATACGACGGGATACTGGGAAGTCTACAGAGACCCGCGGCTGGGGGTGCTTACGTGACGAGCTGCTGCTGTTTCCACTCCTCGATGCGCTTATGGTTCTGCTGGTCGCGGTCCTCGTCGCTGGAGCTCGATTTCTCCTCTTCGTCCAGTTCCTTCTGGATGCTCTGCCACTTCTTCACCAGGGACGGCATCTTCGTCTTGCTCTTCTTTGCCTGCGGAGAGCGAGAGGAAACCATCCTCTTATTGGCCTCAGCTTGAGGAGGGAATCGGAAGCAGGGAACTGCTTTACCTTGAGGGCAAAGGTCAACAGCCCAGTTCTGGACAGCTGGTTTGACAGCTCCCATCTTACTCACATCAAGGTTCTTCCAGACCTCAACGCCCAATTAAGCTCATAATTTGGTTAACTAAGAGAACTCCTTCCTCAAATGGTGAAGGGGAATCAGATCGTGTTAAATAAAGTCATTTACAAATTATGCAAGACATCAACTGCTTAAAGGATCACAATTTGAACACGAGTAGGGTGCTCCTTACTAACAAGCGATTTAAATTAAGCCTTCCTCAGTGATAAAGCACTACATCACATATCTTGTATTGCTTCCTTATATAATTAAGTTATAATGGCATCACCTGCTACCAGTACAACTAATCACAAGAGCCAATACACAGACACTGAAATAATAATGCTGGGAGTAAATGTTACAATTAAAATGTGCCAAGTACAATCTTCTACGACATATGGTGATCGACCAACCTAGCAAGAGCCCCCAGAGGGCTGGACAGAGAGCTGCCTGCACAAAAATAAAGGGAAAACAGTATGCCCACCTTGTCCTTTTTCACTTTTTTCATTTTCTCCATGGCCTGCATTTTGCCTGCAGCCTGGTCAGCAACACTGGATGACGGGGCAGGAGGAGGAGGCTGAGAGGGGGGCGCTGGGCCAGTAGGGGCCCCCGTCTCAGCGGGTGGCGTGGGGACTGCCACCGCCGAGACCCCCCAGTAAACAGGGGCAGACATCATAGGACCTGCAGGGACAGACGTACACAGGCCTGCATTAAAAAAAAAAATCGCCAACTTCGGCTGTTAAACAGGCTTAACGGGAAACATGAATCACCCCGCTCACTGACTCACTCCCTAAGGATCCATTTAACATTTGGGATTTATAATGCACATCAGGACTGAATTAAGCAATGGCATGTTTGACTACACTCTGCAGAGAATGGCACCGACTAACGTTCCCATAAACGACTTATAAATATATGAAATGATTCTCATAGAAATAGCCACAGAAATGGATAAGCAAGTTCCCTCCTAAAACATACTTATTAAAAAAAACACCTTTACACTATGATTTACTCCTGCTTCTAAACTTCAGATTTAGAATTAAAACTACTTTAATAAACTAGGGTACAATCACTTATAAAATTCCCCAGGCAGGGTTTTGAATTGGGCTCCGCCCCTTGCTCCCAGAATGCAGTGGTGCTCTCACCTGCGGACACGGCGGGCTGGCTGTACAGGATGGGGCTGCTGCCGATGGTGACGGTCTTCTGGGCGGGGCCGGGGGCGGAGCTCGGCGCCCTCCGCTTCACTGCCTTCGCCGGCGGGCTGGGCGGGCGGGCCGGCTCGCAGGGCTGAGAGAAAGAGCGCAGAACAGCGTCAGCCAGCCCTCCTCCCCTGCTAACACAGCACAGCACAACAACACCCGTCCTGGTCCTTCCAAAACCAGGTTCTTCGTGGCGAAGTCTCAAACATACGTTTTAGAGGAAATTTGCCCAAACACAGTGAATACAGCGACACTGTCACAACCTCTTTCAGAGCTTGTTGGCAAGGATCTGGACAAGACAGGTTTTTGTAAATCATACATGGACATCTGGAGAACAATGCCACTGCCTGATCATGATAAGCATAAGGTTGAGGAATTCAGTGATTGGAGGTTCTGGGATTCTGTGGCACTGTTGAGGTGGGTTACAGAACAGAAGGAAAAAAACTCATTTTCATAACCATGTTGTTCGAGCTCCTTCTTGCTTGCATCACGTAGTAGTTATAGATTAAAGGATGTGAACCTTTTTGGTCTTGAGCAGGGCAAGCCACAAGGGGAACTGATTCAAGCTCTGGAAATCCTCAAAGTCAGCCCAGAAAACCTTGTTTTCAAGATCAACAGTGAATGAACTGGCTTCATCATTCTTTTTTCCGCCTCTACTGACAGCTGGTGTGTGGTGATTGTACTGGCGCACTCTGGCTGCCATGGAGGCTACACACTGTAAAGTGCCTGGAGTGGAGTGTCCAGAAAAGCACCGTGTAAGTGTAAGTATTATTATAAACAGAAGACACAAGCAGAGGCTCTGAAGTGTATTTTAAATCGAGAATAGGAGGCATTAATTTTTTTTACAAAATGGTTTGTGTCAAGACCTTGGCTTCTCTCAGGAAGAAGCTGGAGGAGGTGCTCCGATCAATGAGCAACTAGGTACCAAACGAGCCAGCCAGGGGCCCAGACCGCTACTCCTCAGTGGTTTGTTACCCCAGCCTCTCCCCCCCACCAGTCCTACCTTGGCAGTGGACCCCGCCGTGGGCTGAGCGGGCTTGCGACTGGCCTCTTCCTCAGTCCCTGGAGCGGGAGGCTCCCCGTCCTCGTCCTCCATCTCCACTTCCTCAATCTCCCCGTCCTCGCTGAGGGGTGGCGGAGGGGGCGGGGGCGGCGAGTCCGGGGGCGGCGGTGGGGGAGGGGGGCACTCGTCAGGCAGGGGCGGGTCAGTGGGCGGCGGGAGTGGGGGCTGGGTCAGGGTCCAGTAAGAGGCCATCCCCTGCTGCACAGGGGCAAGGCCCATGAAACTGCTGGCACCTGTAAGAACGGTCATGCCATGATGAGCCAAGCACATGAGGGAAGTCTTCCAGCAACTGTTAACAGTGGGTTTTCTAGTCACGCTAACAGCCAGGTCATCCAACGGTGACTTTTTACATCCAAAAGACAGAGAGAGAGGTCTTTCAGGAACCGTAACTGCAGCACGCTATTCAAGAATATTTAGAAAAACCACAAAGCCACGTTGAATGACCCCATATCTTTTTTAAAAGGGAAAACATGCCTTAAGCTAGAGATTAGTGCTAGAAGCTGTAAAAATGCCTAACTTATCAAGCTGTTCCATGTGGCTTTGACAAAAACACAAACAGGTTGTCAGTGAAAAAACAGCACGGCACGATTGAGCATGTGACCTCTGACCTGTATAGACCCCCGGGGGTTCAGGCGGTGGTTTCAAGTCGCCAGGGACCACAGAGCTGTGCTCGGCAGGACCAGAGGTGCCCCCTCCTTCAGCCTCCTTCTCCCCGTCCACGTCGGGAAACTCCCACTGCGAGGCGCTGGTCTGATCGTTGACATAGAAATACCGTCTGTGTTCTCTAGAGCAGAGGAAACAGAAAGAGAGCCGTCTCAGCAACGTCAGGAGCCCCTGCAGGCAACGCAAATGCTGCACAGCTGCAGTGGACTGAACTGCTGTGAGCAAAGGCAGGAGGGAGCCCGAGAGCTGAGCTGTGCACAATTCTTTGGGGGTAACTGCGTCAGTGGCCCAGGGAGCCCAACAGTTACCCAAGACAAAGTCAGAGTCCGGAGGGAAAAAAATGGTCTCTCGCCGACAGCAGGAAGGGGGCACACAGAACACCCCTTCCGGACAGTAAAGGAACCCACCTTGTTTGCAAAATACATACATGATCAAGTCCCAGCTGGTGCAAAAAAAGGGATGAATTTGAGACCACCAGGAAAAAACAAAAAAGTGTCAAAAACAAACTGCTTGACACAGAAATTGAAAATCAAAGTCCCAGAAGCCTGAACCTAAAGTGATGCTCCAAGGAAGTTAAAAAAAGAGCTGTGGTATATAAGAATTACATTACGGAACACAGAGTAAAAAGAGCAAACAGAAAACAATGGAAAAAAAAAGTAGTCTGACCTGCACGTCCGGGAAAATTCTCGGTCTTCTCTCTTACTGATGCCGTGACACGTTTTCCTCCAGGATGTCTCTGTCACTCATTCTCTCACCGAAGGGGTCGTCCTGCAAAGCGTACAGCTCTCGCGTGCGCAACCACCTTCCTAGAAACTACGGTACCCTTCCGCTGTCACGGCCCCACAGAGAGGAGGGCCCACGGCAGGCATTGTGGGGGAGGGCGCGTTTCTCGTTTAGTTGGACAGGCCCGTTTTATTCTGTCTTTAGGGTCTGGTGCTACAGACCGGTCCAAATAGTCAGTTGCACGGGGGAGAAATTCGCTGCCTTCGCCACGGCTGCTGCTGCTGCTGTGGTTCCATTTTAACCCCCCATTATTAAAACTCGCAGAATTGCATCATCTAGCGGAGGTGATGTCACAGCTGAGGTCAGCTGGGGTCAGGGGAGTGAAAGGTGAAAAAGGTAGAGAGAGCGTACCTGTCCCAGTGGCAGAGCCAGCCCTTAGGTGTGGCGTTAAGTTCATAATGTTTAATCTGTTCGGCAGCTTCTTGAAGCCTGCGCTTCAGATAATTTCCATTCAGAGCTCCTTCTCGCCAGTCTGTGATCCGAGTCTGTGTAGAGAGAAGGGAGGAATAAGTCAGAGGGAAGAAAATTTCTTACAGCACACTACTACCGACATTCAACAGCTTCAAAACTATTAGCGCATCAGCCAGGAAACCGGCACAGGTGTTGACCCCTGTCGCAGAAATTGAATTTGGGTATTGCAGCGTGAAACCCAGAGCTAAGCACAGGGATTTTTAAAATGTTGTTCTACAGTAACTAGTCCTGCAGTATTTCAAGAACTGGAGCAAGCGACTTGAGGACACAAAGATAACGTCCAAGTGAAAGTAACAGACAGCCAAACAAGTTAACGGTACTGCAACATAATAGCCTCTGTTGTCTACAGAAATAATTTGGTAATTCCAACTATATCAACCATCAAAAGATACTTCCGATTTATAAGTACAACCACTTCACAAAGCTATCATAAGGAAAAAAGTTTGCAGCAGGTGCACCGATATAATACTGGACACAAATTGATTACACTGACTGATGCCAGATATCACCCCAGTGCTCATCACCAGAATTGATCATTAATCATTGTTACTTACTGAAGTGATTAAGTAATGACTGATGAAGTAAAATGAGCCCAAACAGTCAATAATTATCCAAACTTTGTATACTTACTTTTTTCAAAATCATAGAGCTATTCATTTCTTTTGACACTCAGTATATTTTAGTTTTACTTTGTGTTACCACGATTTGCATTTTTGACATGATAAAGCTACAATATTTATTTTTACTGTAAATTTGCATCCCTACTGAAAAGGTTCATCAACCTATTTATCACTGTCTATACTGCCGGTATAGTAGCAATCAGCCAAGGTCAGAATTGAGTATCTCTAAATATTTTAAGAATGAGACAAGCCTGAACTATCGGGTGTGTTCTCCCAAGAATCAAACAATTTCATTACCTCTGTCTGCAAGAGCAGCAGCTGGAAGTTAGATATGGTCTTTTTGTTAATCCCCAGAAATTCCATTTTGCTGGTTAAGGTGTTTGCAAGCTCTCCAATCTGAAACTGGGCGGGAAAAAAAAGAAAATGCATTGGGGTAAAAAATGTCACCACACGACCTTATAGTAAGAAACATTTCATCTTCACGGTTAGCAATATGCAACTGAAAAATGGGTGGGAATTCTGGAGCGTGTAGGAGCCAGGCAGCAGCAAGGCCCCAGAATTCAGACCCAGAAGACCAACGTTACCTTGAGATCCGCCGTCTCCTCCTCCTCCTTGGGGACCGGTCTGGGTTTGGGCTTCTCCACGGAGACCTCTGCTTCCACCTGCTCGTCCTCCTCTTGCTTCTCATTCAACTTGGAATGTGCTGCAAGAAAACCACCACACCCCTCAGCATCTAGGAAACACGGCACTCCGGACTGCAGGCACGCGCGTGTGCAAGCGCCCTCATACATTTAAGAAATCAATAAAACGGGGAAGAAACAGCACAAACAATTACACATCCGAACAACAAAATGACAAGTGAACCTTTGATGTCCTAGACAGACTGTACAACCTGATGCGGTTATTCCAAATCCTCTAAAGCCCTAAGTCAACTTTGAGCACGTCTTCAAAATAAACAGCGAAACAGGACCCAAGTTACACAAGTGGAAACTACATGGACACGAATTTAAAAGCAAGAGCAGAAGGCACTTTCTTTACCCAGTGGGTTGCAGGAATACGGAACCGGGCCATGCTGCTGAAGCTGGATGAGCTGCTCGGATCAATTAACTAACTGCCAAATCGGCCAGACGTGCCAAATATAAGAGAGGTTTCAAGCTGGTGCCCCACGCGATTCCCCTAAAACCCATCTGCAAGCCCTGGATCATACCGGTGTCGGGGGGGTCTGGGCTATTCCTCCCTGCCTTCTCCGAGCCGCGGCTGTTGGACTCCGGGCTGGCGGAGCGCAGGAAAGACGTCTTCCACTTGGGCTTCCTGAGAAGGGCGCTGCGGCCGCCCTCCTGGCTGACGTCGGAACAGGGGCTGGAGCCTCCGGCACTACCATCCCCCTCCTCTAGGGCGCGCAGCTCTGCCTGCAGGGGAAGGGAGAGGGAGGTCACAGACACCTTCAAGAGGACAGATGCGCTACATGTTCCAAGTCCTTTTTTTTTTTTAAATAGGAAGGGCAGCCTTTTGAAATCCGTACCCAAGGCCTAGATCAAACCTGACTAACTCCCCCTAGAGGAGCATAACCCTGGTGCTGGATGGCTGGTGTCTCTGCAGGTGTTGGTTCCAAACCTGGCTTTACCAACTGAATCAGCTCATTACAGGCTTAAGGGGACCAATTAAAGACCTTCTACCGGCTGTTTAGATGCTGGAGTTTTTTTTGTAGAGATCTAGAAAACCCCCAGGACCAGAACTGTATCCGTGCCCAGACACCGAGAAGCGACAAGTCCCCACCTTCTTCCTCTCTAGCGCCAACTCCAGCTCGATGGTATCTTCCTCCATCTCTTCCTCCTCCTCCACCGCTTCCCCTTCTGAGCTCTCTCCTGATTGGGCGTTGCTGCGGGGGTCACCCTGGGAATGGGCGTCCGCCTCCGCGGGGGCGGGGTCTTCCACAGGCTGCCCCTCCCCCTCCCCAGACTCCTGCTTGCCCTCCACCACGGAGATGACCTTCTTCCTCCATCGCTCCTCAGCCTCCTTCACCTCGTCCGGGATGAGGGGAGCCAGCAGGGACGCGGCGACCCCTTGCCTCTCCTCTTCCTCGCTGGTCAGGGCCACCACACTCTCCATTACTTCCTGCTCGGAGAGACAACAAGCAATGCAACTTGAACAAAGCAACGGGCTAATTTTATAATTCCTACAACTAAACCTATTTCAAAGCAATAGAAATGACATTTTAAGCAGATTTTTTACATGCAGTATTGCCTGTACCACTGAAGTTACCCAAACCTGACTTCAGCTCTGAACAGACCTTTTTGACTTCTTTCTTGACGGCTGGCACAGCGGCGGGGACTGTCGAGTTCTGCTCGGAGTAAAAACCGCCGCTCTGTGTCGTACTGGTGCCGTTGACTGCCACACTGGAACTACAAAAAAAAATGTTAAAGGTTACTGCGTACTAGGGTTCCAACTCATCCTGAAAAAAAAACCGCAAACCTTAATCTCACAGTTAAACTAGAAAAAGGAAAATGAAAACATCCAGAGGAAAGACATGACAGAAATTGGGACTTTACTGACGTGACGCTGGAGTGAGATGTTTGTGGCTGTCCTACTCCACACACACCCAGGTGGAAATCCTGGCATGTAAACGAGGCACGACATTAGGCGGTTGCAATGGAACTATTGGGGAACAAGGAAGGGTGGGGGGGGAATCTGAAAGGGTAATGGGACAGAAAACCTCCAACAACATCCTAAACGTATATCAATGTGCTTTGGCATGTGGTCGTGTAAAACCCATCACAGGCTAATGCATCGAGCAAACTTTTCTAAACATCCAGCCATTTTCTAACCATCGCATGGGACACCAGGCCATTGTAGAGCACACACTCTTAACATCAATTTTCCCTGAAGCCACTTAACCTACTGGCGTGTCTCTGGACTGTGGGAAGAAAGCCATGTGAACGCAGGGAGACCATACAAACTCAACACAGATATCACCCCCTGGAACTGAACCCAGGGCCCCAGTGCTGCAAGGCCGCAATACTACCCAGTGCGTCACCATGCCACGCCTATTCTAAATGATCACCTTCAAAATATTTCCCTAGTAAACAAAGACAACGCCATGGCCAGGATGGTCTCCAAACCTGAAAAGCCTGCTCTCTTGTTTCGTTCTTCTCACAAAAGAAGCAGCAACGCGTGCAGTGCCAAGAGCATGCAGTTCGTCCGGCACGGTACCTGTCAGGGTACTGCTGCAGGTCCTGCACCTGGTGCGCCAGGTAATGGGGGAGCTGCCAGGTGACCTCATTGGTGTGGGTGTTCCAATAGTAGTAACACCCCGTGTTCTCATCCCAGACCTCCTGCCAGTCTCCCATCTCCACGCCCACTGGTACAGGGAGGGAAACCAACACATGACATTCAGGGAAACATTCATCAGCAAAGGAGAAAGATCAGAATCTGACCCGGAAAGACCACCCCCCGTCTCCTCCAGAGCGGACTGAGCTCGAATACAGAGGGAACATAAAAGCCCGTACACGGACAACTGGAAAAACTTAAAATCAAAAGAAGCACTCGCTGTTTTATTTATTCGTCAGCCAAGCCACGCCAACCAAGCATGCAGAATTGTCACATTATTGGTATGCTTGGTCACTGAGAACTTGATGCCTAGTGCATCAGATCAGTTAACCCATAATCTTCCCCAACTATGACTAAATAGTTCAGAACTTATACCACCAGGACCAAACAGGCAGTAAATTAACCAACTGCTCCTCAAAAACCCCTCAACAGTTTATTACTGACTAGGAGGTAAATAAGCCAGTTGAATCATGGCCACCAGAATCGGTGTGTGAGCTTCACTGGGTAAAATGCCTACCACTCACCTCCTACCAGCGAGTACTGGGTGTCATACTGAAACTCTGCCCCTGTGCCTGCCTCCTCACACCCGGTCTGGCCAGCAGGGTGTCTGGGGGTCTGGGGCTGATCTTTGGGGTCAGGGCGAGGTGGGGTGGGCGCTGGGGCTGAGGAAGCTACTGTGGTGCGCTCCGCGGCCTGGCCTGGCTGCGTTGTGATGGCGTCGATCTCCTGTCAGGTGGAAAACAAAAAAACTGAGGAAAGGCCTACAAAGCGATATTTTGTTCAGCCTATAAAATCTAGAGCAACATTCTGACAAACTAGTCTCTAGCCAGGGGAGGGAGGAGGGGGGGCATCTCGTTGGTATCCACTTTGCTAGCCTAAAGTCCAAAGAATAAAGGAACATACAACCTCTGGCTATTGCACATGTCAGGTGCAGGAAACCTAAGAAGTCCCTCTGATTGCCTCCTGAAGATCCTATATGAAATGAGCTACCAGGCTTGCTCAATCCTGCATGTTTTCCAGCTGCTACATTCTGAATTACACCCTTTGGCACCATTTCTCTGCAAGGGCAGTAATGGCTGCAGTGGGTGCCGTCTCTGACTACGTAGCTTCACTTTGCTTAAAGCGTTTCTGCTTCGATACCCAGAGGGGGGTGTACAATGTTCTCCTGGGAGGAGGGTGCCGGATACTCACGGCCAGGAAGTTGGCGAGGGTGCTGTCAATATCCGCAGACTGGTTGTGGTTGGCGTTTGAGGGAGCGGGCTGTGAATCGGCACCGTCCTCTTCCTCGCTGTCTTCGTAGGCCCCCAGCAAGGAAAGGCCCCCTGCGGAAGTAGAGGAGAAAACGGACACCGCTGTCTCACTACAGATGACTGGCACACGTCAGAGATGGCAAGCTCACATCTGAGGCTGTGTGCTTAAATCTGTTCATCTGTACTCTCTTCCCACACCTACTTGAAGCCAGAGATATGGGCACAGGAAGAGTGACGACCCACCCTCTTTTGGCAGCGATGCTTTTAACACCAACACGCATAACAAATCCTTTCAGTGAGACTGAGAAAGATTCAGCTCCTCTTACCTGTAGCTTTCACAGATGGAGGCTTGGTTTCCATAAGGTTGTCTTTAGAGATCTGAGGGTGAGACGCATCTCCACTCCCATCCTGCTCATCTGAAAAACACCACAGGGAGAAGGGTTATTCCACAACCCCCAGGAATAAAACAGAATGAAATAAACCATCTATTGCATGAGGGGGCACTGCCTTCATTTGAATAGTCCTTTCCTGCACAATGTCACTTAAAAGGCTAAAATTTGCTTCCTCCGGTAAATCAGGGCAAAGTTAACCCATATGAACACATCCCTCCAAACCCTACAAATCTGGAAAACAAGGAATGAGTACAACAGTCCAATCTCACATTCTTCCCTCATTAGTGCTGTCATTACAGCTCTAGTGACTCGCAGCTCAATGATGTTTAAAGGTTCTGTAACCAGACAGAACAGAAAACTACAGCGTGAAGCTCATTCGCAAATACTTAAAGGTGTCGCATTACTGTAATGAATAAGCAGACGTGTTGCAAACAATATTGGTCTGGCACATGGACGGAGTAACCCCATCCCGACACTGATCATCTGCTGTAGCACCGGTTTTCAAGGGATGCAAGCAGGCTAATCTAACAAAATTCAAGGCAGAAATCAAGGTCCACATTAGTTCGTGTTAATACGCCGCTAGCGAGGCCTCCATTTCTATATCGTTTTAAACACCGCCACAGGGAACGTTTCGATACGCCACTGTTTCGCTGCATTCCGATGTCTGACCCGTTAAATCAATAACCTCACACAAGCAGAGACGTTACCACGTTCAGAATCTCAAGTCTAGCTTCTGTTCCTTCCCTCTCAAATATACAGCGGGGCACATAGTATAAATATATAGGATAATACCCACACTAGGCAAGCACCCGTCTCAGATAAACTGCAGTTTGAACACGCAATGCATGTACGCCAATGCACCTCCCCAGTGAAACCCCCCGTTGTAGAAACCCGGGTTTCCCTGGGTTGTTTTTGAGCACGACACTACACCTCGTACAGACTCCTGTCCGCCGGCCCACCGGCGCGCCGCCACAGGCAGCAGCAGCCAGTATTCAAACCCATCTAGCCCCGTCTGCTTCCGCCCACCCCAGCCCGAGGACTGAGACGAGGCCTAAGCCCGACAACCGACCGAACTACCTTCCGAACCGGATCCGGCACCCTCTTCACGACAGCCGGCGCCGCCCGCAGGGAAACCGCGAGGCCCCGGTGGCGAAAGCTGGAGGATGGTCCTGCGACCCGTTCCCGTCCGTGTCTTCTTTCCCATTCCTTTTTCCACCCCCAAAAGGTTAAACTGGAAAACGGCAGCAGCAACACCGCCGACCGAGTGCAGCCCGACTCGACACACAACAGCGCAACAAAGAGGCCCGGAGCGGAAGTGACGATGCTCACAGGGCTAAGCGTCACGCTCGCTCGCGGACACTCACAGGAAAGAGCGTCACGTCTACAGGGCTGCGCTCTGCTGCACGCTGTTCGGGTTACTGTATACAGCATCTATAAAAGAATGCGTTTAAACGTCGATGATGTAGCTTTCCTTGATGCGTCCCATTGCGCTGTTTAACTGTACAAAAAACAGAAACTGTAATGAATTGTCAGAAACACCCGCACGTTTGAGCAGCAAGTGGTGATTGGATTTCTGCAGCCTGATTTGTTAGAATTAAGATTATTGGACGTCTGTGTGATTAATACTAATTAAGATACTGTAGCTAAACTTAAGAAGAGGTTTTGTGACATGAGGACAAACTTGTTAAAATTAAGCCCCACCTGGATGATGCACCAGTCCTCTCACACACCAGCTGTCAGTGGGAAGGAGAGCAGAGTGATGAAGCCAGTTCATAGAGGGGGATTATTAGGAGGCCATAATCACAAAACAAGATAGTATTTTTTATAGGGAATACATCTGATGATCGCCACATTATCCCACAGGATATGGAGCACAGAGTCCTGGTAGTCTCTGGATCTCTGCCTGCTGTGAAATCCACTGTGGAAGCCATCTGTTAACTGTATACATGTGGAAGACAGCAGCTGATGGTACAAGTCAAACTGCGCTTTTTGATCAACCTGCCGTTTCTTTTTCCATTTACGGCTTAAGCAGAATATGAAATCACAAACCATTTTAAAATCCGGACTAAAAGAAGATAAATATTTGTGACCCTGTGTTCTAACAGGAGGCCTTTCGGTTCCTCAGCCGCTACTTGATCAACAACTTGACCTTGCTTGGTGCGTGTTCCAGACCTTCACAGCCCTCATGACATGTTATTCTGAAAATAAGAGTTAAAACAATCATAATAGGTCCGTGTGGCACACGCACACAGAACTATGAAACACCCTGCTGTTCCATCTCCATGTGATGACACATTCCAGCTTTTATAATGGAGAAATAAAACAATAATGGCGTTTGAGCTATTGGAGCACTTTCTGAGCAGGTTTGGTAGTATTCCAAATTGGGATACTTGCGCTCAATCTCAGGTAACCACAGCAACCACACCCCAATCCCAGCCTGTGACAAATGACAGAGGGCATCAAAGAAGCAGTGACTCTGAAATAAGACATGATTTATGGATTACTGAAAACTGGGGGAAAAAAAACAAAAAACTTTGCTCATTCAATACTCAGTGTTTGCTATAACAGAAAGCAGGAGCCACACCTTAAGAAGTAACATTTTATTGACTGCAAATACAGAAAATGACAAAAATTCAGAAAACTCTTAATTTACAGGCACCCCGCAGGTGAAACTCACAGGCCGAGTACAAAACACTACAAATCCACAACAAACGCAAGGGTGGAAACAAGATGTTTGTTACCGTGTACTTTTTAGGTATAAAGAAGAAAATATACAGTATTTTTTTCAATCCTAGTGACAAACATTCTTGAATGAGTCCCAGTCAGACGTTTTTAGGGGAAAAAACGCAACATACATACACGTATTGTACATGATCAGGCATTGTAAGAGCAAACCGGTCTGTGACATCGAATAAAAACCAGACCAGGAGCAGTGGCTGAATCACTGAGAGCAAACCAACATTCCAATGAAAAATCTCTATTTGTATATAAACAATATTCCTTTACTGTCAATAGAAAAATACACTTCAGGTTATTTTATCGTGGTCTGAAATGGGTTCAATGCACAGGTGAAAAGGCAGTGCTCTGGTGTGAACAGCTCGGGTTCGAGACCCCCGGTAGGGACTATAGTTTCATTGTTTTCTGGAAGGTGGCCTGCTCCACAAGTCTGTGGTAATGACCCAGCTTCTCCTGCAGCTTCTGGTACAGCTGAGAATGAAAGACAAGAACCAGGTTTGCTTCAAATTTCCAGTCTGTATCACAAGCAGGTATGGATAAGCATGTTAGTTGCCATAAATCACAGATTTCATCACCATCTCCACAACTAGTGACATAATCCAAATGGGTGATAAGAAGAAAAAAAAGCCAAAACATGGTGGAAACATGGTGGAAAGTATTCTTAAGAAAAGCAATCGGGAGCTTTATAAAACTTATAAGTGACAACAGGTTAAGTTCCGTTACCCAGAAGTAAGTAGAACCAAATCCTGGGTTTGCCATAAAAAACTGGCACAACTTATCAGCTATATCACAGATGTTTATCCACACTAAACATTCCCTGATCAATTTTTACAAATCCCCGTTTGCAAAACCAGATGTAGAATCAACTCACGTTGGCATTAAAGGCGTTGGCCTGGTTCTCGCTGAGGGTCTGTAGCAGCTGATCAATGGACAGATAAGGAAGCCAGGCCAGGGGACCAGTGGCTGACAAAGGCTTCTGAAATATTTAGAAGAGCAGAAGTTTGGTTAAGCATGTGAATAATTAAAAATGAACAGGAAAGCGCCGACACTGGCATCATCCAAAATGACTATGTCTAAAAACTAAATGATTTCCTCTGTCCCTTTTTCTCCTTTTCCACCGAGTATATTGCTCTGGTGTTTTCTGTAATGAAATAAGTATGTGACTGTCCTGTGCTTCCCCTCTGTTCTTATGAGAGAATAACTGTCAAGGCACATCTGGAAAAGTGCATGATATAAACAATGCAAAGATTTGTGCCTGAGAACACACTTGTTTAGTCTGTCTATAGGACAACGCTGATTAATCCTTGAAGATCTAGTACAGTCTGTTTCGGTGTCATGTTTACAAAGTCCTTCCTTGAGATAATCCATCAGAATGAAACGAGATATTGACAAATCGGTTCTCCTTGTACAGGATGGTGTAAGAAATTGCTTATATAATTCAGCAGTTACCGTATGCTGTATCCCATATTCGTGTGTGCTTAGTAAGTCACTCCTTGGTGGGGAGGAAAGTGATTTTCTCCACCTTCAAGTCTTTAGAATTAATTCTTTGGACAAATTTCCGACATTTTCTTTTACGGAACGTAGTGATAATCACAAAACAAGATGGCATTCTTTTTATAGGGAATACATCTGATGATCGCCACATTATCCCACAGGATATGGAGCACAGAGTTCTGGTAGTCTCTGGATCTCTGGGCTGCCTGCTGTGAAATCCACTGTGGAAGCCATCTGTTAATTGTATACATGTGGAAGACAGCAGCTGATGGTACAAGTCAAACTGCGCTTTTTGTGCCGTTTCTGTACAAGTCGAAAGTTTCTCTCGGATCAACCCTTTTGTTGCTTATAAAGCCTACTTACTGCTTATTATTTACAGTTTGATTTCCTTACACAGAGACAAACGATGGAGAAGCATGTGATGGATTTTAGGTGGCAGGGAAAACAAAAAGGGAATGTCTTTTTCCCCACACGGCTTACTTCAAATCCAAAGTACTGGTGGCCTTTTCCAAGAAGGGCATCCACATATTCCAGCACCAGCTCCCCTGCCGCCTCCAGGAGGTCGTAATTCAGGTAGAGGCGCAGCAACCCTGCGGCGTCCACCACCTGCACGAGCGGAAAAAAAACAGCTGACAGAGCGACCGGAGGCACAGAACACTTCCCTGCTTGTCATCTGGAGCCGCTCGTGAACCAGGCGCCGCATCAGAAATCAAATCAATCCCACAACTCAGCTGTGGCGCAGATTTACTGTTGGCAAGAGCACGGATCCGCTGGCAGATCTCGCAGGACTTCTAATGGCCCATCAGCACCAAAGCATTAGGACACTTCTGAAGCTACAGGACATTCACACTGGCACCCACGCCCCTGTGAAAGGTACGCACCACAGCCGAACGTGGGGCAAAACGCAGGAAACCGGACGCGCGCTGCAGCCAAACAAACATTAAGGAGCTACAACTGCCCACCTTGTACCCGTTGACCAGCCAGTCCGGTAAGGGCACGCCATGCGACAGCAGCTTGTCGAGAACGCAGCGGTGGTACTGGGCATTCTGGGATGGGTACCTTTCCAGGTAAGAGGACAGCAGACGCCAGGCCTCATCCGTGGCACTAAGGTGGAGACAAAGACCATCGTCAACATGGGTCCCTTTCTGGGATTCGACGGTGGGTGCCAGCAGCAAGGATGATGGCACAGCCGGTGGTTTCTTTCTCCGGCTGCTCTGCAGGCTACAGTTACCACCAAGCTCGTCCGCCATGTTAGCTGTGCCACTGTGACAAAGTAAAAGACACTGGACGGCCAAAGGGCAGAAAACAGCACATCACTCCTTTGCGTGAAAGAGCACCTTCTGCTTTATCACAAGGAAATAGGGAAATGGCAAACACAAGGGAAGCACTGGTCAGCGACATTAGGCAGAAGATTGGCAAAGCTGGGGGTGCAAAGACATCATAGAAGGGTTCCAGAGCAGGGAAAGACTTACAAGAAACTAACAAGCTAGAGGTGACTGCTATCGTGTCAGAGGAACTCAGTCATGCATCTGTTTACGGTGAGGTACTGATGCATCCCACCGCTACCACCATATGTAACAGATCCATCACTCGGGTAGCTTGCAACATAAGGACCAGCTTCATCCGCAGGCAACCCAGGTCTGAAATTCCATGTTTGGTTTTGGCAAGAATAAACCACAGCAGAGATATTGGCCCAAGGTTGGGAATCAAGATACAACTGCTTAAATCAAGACATTGGAAGTCTTGGCTTTAGCCACAACCCAAGTGTGAAATCGGTAACAGAACTCACCTCGATTCTTTGGTGGTGATTACAGAGGACAGCTGATTAGCAGCAAGCCAGTTCCAGGCTTCATTCTGATGTGCTTCTCCGCCATATTGCAGCTTAATACACCTACAAGGACAGCAGGGAGAACAGCTACTAGCATCACCAATGGCAGAAGAGGATCGTCCGAACAATCCTCAAGGTCACATCGAGGATAACAACACAGAATTAAAATGTATGCAAAAACCTTATCCATTTATCTCAGCCCTAATTTTCTGTTAAACGCTTATAGCTGGTTTATCTATTTCCTTTCACCGAAGGCTATGAGGCAACTTGAGCATTTAGCAACGGGGGCATCCTAAATGGTTCTCGAGGCATGAAAACGAGTCCCGAGTCCTGCTGTAATGCTACTGAGTAACAAGAAACCTGTGCTCATGAGGCCTCAACGCTGTAAAACTCGGTTATATTCACACATGGTTAAGACTGCAAACAGCACGTCCCACACACTGGCAGCGGCCCCAGCAGGTCATCTCCCCCTTCGGACCCCGACAGCCTCAGGCGTGGGTGACCTACTTGAAAGCCAGCCCTTCGAAGACAGGCGTGAGGGGGAGCTGAAAGGTCTGGCAGAGCGACAGGGCCGCGTCGAACAGCCCGGCCTGCACCAGCAAGGTCACCATCTCCACCGCCGAAGCGCTTCCTGTGAATCGGAGAGGGTTACAACGAGCCCCAGCCCCTGCTCAGAGACGTGCTTTGCATTTAAAGCCAGAACAAAAGGCTCCTAAATCCAGCCTTTCCAGAAAGATCTTCCCTGGACATTTCCCAAATCTCAGTCTCAAAACGACGACATACAGTAGCTCCCCAAGTCCCAGTGACGTAAGAAGCACAAAAAAGTCAGGATAAAAAAATCTAACCTGTGGGGTCAGACGAATGTTACGGGGAAGGGGCCTCAGTTCCCCTGCCATGAAAGCCCTAATGTGGGAGGGAGCACACCCACCTGCAATGGCAGCAGAGGAGGGATCGTGCTGTGCCAGGGTCAGGCGATTCCGAGCCAGGATGTACTCCTTCTGTAGATCCTTCAGCTCCAGGATGTCAATATGACGGCTCACTACAGCAAAACAAAACTACAGTCTAGCATCACGGTTTCTACGTGCAGGCTGGATTGTAAAAAAGCTACAGCCGACAATTTCGTATCAAGTGGTTTTTACATAATACAATACTATAATATCCTGTGAGATTCTTAATTACAAAAAAAAATGTCAGAAAGTAATGGGTCATATGTTTGTAAAAGTAACGTTCATTTTGAGTATTATTATTATTATTTTTATTATTATAGCTTACAAAAGAACTTCCAGGTGCACCATAATGCCCTCCGATCAACATATTTACCCACAAACACACACAAAAACGTAAGACCAGGGAAGGGTGACCTGCTGCTGCTCACAGCTCTTGTGTCCTGGGTCCGATTCTAGCCTGGAACTCCCACTGCATGAAGTTTACCTGTTATCTGGGACTCATAAACTACCTCCTGCATGTGTGTGTGTGTGTGTGTCTCCTGTGGTACACTGTCCCACCTTGCACCCTGTTCCTGCCAGGTGAGGTCCACTGCCAACCCTGAGTACAAAGCAGTCACAGAGGACAGGCGAATAAACAACCCCCAGGTCAGCCTTATGGAAACACTGGGCCTCTGTTCAGCCCAAGAGGGGTGGATGAGGTGATGATCATCATCATCAAGCTCTGCATCACGTGTGCAACACAGGTGACTGACACCAACGTCAAAGTGTTTGACAAACGCAGAGCTGTGGGCTTCTCAAGCAGAGAAGAACAAGTCAACTTCCCCAAGACTTCTGAGGGTAAAGTCATCTAACTCCCTGTGTAGCTGCTGGGAGAGAGGGCTGGGCTGGGGTGTGGTACCTGGGCCTGCAGCACACTCTCCGTCGTGACTCCTCTTCGGGGAAGCCCCCGGCCGCTCGTACTGGGGAGAGCAACGCAGACACAGGCCGTTAAACGAGCGCCAATCCAGGCAGAGGCAGAATTACCAGAAAAGACTGCTTCTGCCCTTCCTTGCGAGGTGAAAAGAGAAATGCATTTGATCAAACCCCGTTGCATGCCGTAGGAGCAAAGAAAAAAGGCCGGGAGAGCGTCTCCCCCACGCCACCGCCCAGCCCCAACAGCCGCCCCCCCCGGAAACTGCTCACCACTCCGCCGGACACCGGCTGCACGATCCAGGCATACTCGGGCCGGATGAGGCGCAGGCAGTTCATGGCAGCCAGGTAGCAGTTGACCTGCTTCTGCAGCCCGTGACGCGTGCGCACCTCCCTGCCCAGACGCATCCCGTACTCGAACATCACTGTGCCGGCTGGAGGGGGGGGAGCGAGAAACACACTGATGACACGCTTCCCATTCTCCCTGCGCCTGTGCGCTGAGCGTCTCCATCAGTCGAGGAGCTGGCTGGCTGTCTTCTGGGAGCTTGGCAATGGCAGATCTCTGAAGGCTGCGAACAATCCCAGGGCCCATACCTAATACCTGGTGCCCAACGCTACTGCAAGAAACACAGGCCTGTATCTGCTGCAGATGGGCCAGTAAGAGCAAAGATCACCTCCTTTACGACATTAAGGAGGGATGTGCTTCCTCGCCTTCTTAATTACTTTGTCAAAAGAAGCAAACTTTTTTAATCACACAAGCACAACGATGAGAGATTCCTGGAGAATCTGCGGATTAAGTTGAATTTTTCCCTCTTTATCCGCTACCCAGGCAAACTCCAGACGACCGCAGATAACTCCCAGTAACAAAAAATAAGAACACAGAACAATTAAAGTACTAAAGATAGCAACTGATCGCTGTGCTTTTTTAATGCCTATGATTTCTAAAAATATGTTATTGACGTCTTTGTTTAGTATTCTAAGGAGAATTTTGAAATGCCACCTTTATTTAATAACTTTTAAATTAATCCCAGGATGCTTCGCCCTCTCTGTCACATACTCGGATGGTAATTGGGTTGGAACCACACCTTTCCTGTAGTTGTGCCGGTTGATATGGAAAGCATACAGCAGCTCATAGTAATTGTGAGTCATCAGGTCCACTGCTCTGGCACGGGACTCAATTATACTGACCACCTGAGACAAGAAATAAATACATTAAAAACTGTTTAATGCCATAATGCAAAATATCTGGGTGACGAAACAGTAACTGATTCAGTTTGTTCACTTTTAAATAGGCTACAAGCCATAA